TTGGAACGGCGTTGACTGGCCATGGCAGCAGCAGCGGCCGCGGCAGCAGTAGGATGGACTGTAAAGTCAAGTGGCTTGGAGGTTGGGATGCCGCTGGCTGGCCTACTGAAGGATTGACGCCGCACGCGTTTCTGCTGGCGACTGTAGGTGGTCTGCAGACGGGAATCCGCCGGCTTGTTTCTCTTCTGGCGGTCACCAGAAAGTTTGAGATTTGAGGATAGACGAGCCAACTGGATCAGCGAATCAGAGGAGGGGTGCGCTTGAAGGTCGGCCTCGTCACCACTCAGGGATTTGCGGTCGTGATCTTTGTTAGTTGTAACCGTGGGGGAGATTGGGGGGACGAAGGTAGCAGTGGTTGTGGTGCTGCTGGTGCTACCGATGGGTGAAGAGAATCCAGTTGGTGGACTGAGTCGATGGGTCGTGCTGAGATTTATACACGACCTCGAGGCAGCGGAAACAGTCGGCGGTGTCAGTTGTTGATTCATGGGGAACAGATTGAGTTCTCCCAGCGAATTGGAATGGGAGTTGTAAGGACCGTTGACGCCAGAGAAGGGAGAAGATAGTTTTGAGCGTTCAGAGGACTTGTGGTGTTCCAGACCGATATTCTGGCATGTACGGGCAAGCATAACAAGTGGATTCTGGCTCATAAATTCACTCTAAAACAGATAAACAGTGAAAGGAACAGTATTAGTTATAGCCAGAAGCTCTCATCATGAACGCAGGGAAATGGCAAACTCAGCCTACGTTTGACAGGACCATTCAAAAGTAGGTGTTTAAAAGGCCACGACCCAGTCATCCCATTAAATATACCGACAGCTGCGATTGCCCAAGGTGTTGCACCAGAGATGACATGTTTTCAAGAAAACCCACTAGCAGAACAGGGGGTATAATTATGGGTAAAATTAAATATGGAGAAATAAAGGCATGACTGGAGCAAGTGGGACAGAGTAGAATTGATGGCTGTAAAATTGACCCAGTGTGTTGAGCAGTTCCTGCTTTCAGAACGCATGTCTAACTTGTTGGGAGCGCACCTCCGTTTCCAAAGTCGGCCTTCCTTAGAAAACTGATTGAGGCTTCAGCTGGAGAAGTTGGACTTTGTTTCCGAGGCCTGCTCACACCCTGGACCCTAAGACCGCAATCCCTACGATTTTCCGTAACCGATTCTACTATACATGTAACAGTGGTGACTTAAGTGACTCAGGGGCAAGTGATTAACATTGAACGATTCGGTGCGCAGGTGTAGGGTGCACCTTGGCCGAAAGCGGTGCAATAAAAAAAATACCGTGGAGATAACTTTTCCTTACAAAAACAACCAAGTAAGTACGCAAATCATGGAAGCACAGAATAGCCACTAGAATGTGCTCCTACCCCTCTAA